CTTTTGACTCTCCACCTTTTGCTGTATGGAGAACCAACCCCATAGGTCTGGTCACTGGTAAGTCCTCAAACAAGCAAAGGTTGATTCTTGACCTCTCTGCTCCCCATGCATCAGTTACACCAACCTATTCATCCATCCCTGTGGCATTTACATGGTGTTAAATGGCAAGGGTTATATTTTTTCACGCGTCTCATATTCGGTTCAAAGAGCAGCCCACGTATTTTTGACATGTTTGCTGAGACGTTGTGTTGGATATTGCTTAACACCTGTAGATGCCCCACCATTATCCATTATCTGGATGACTTTCTTTCCGTAGAAAGCAACCTCTTACCGCCCAGTAGCCTCCAGGCTACAACACGGCTTTTTACACAACTAGGAGTCCCGATTTCACCGACCAAGACGGAAGGGCCCGATACGGTCATCAATTTCCTAGGGGATGTGCTGGATTCAGTTCACATGCAGGCTAGCCTCCCCAGGGAAAAGATTGAACGCATACTGGCCGCCATTGACTTTTACTTAACCGAACAGTCCTGCAGCAAAAAGGAATTGCAATCCCTGTTAGGTTCTCTTAATTTTGCCATGAAAATTATTCCTCAAGGACTGGCTTTTATATCCCGACTACTCAGTCTATTCCCTAGGTTTCATACCGACTCCTCCCGTATAATGTTAGATAGGCATGCCACCGCTGACCTACGCATGTGGAGGGAGTTTTTACGACACTGGAACGGGAAGAGCTTGTTCATACCAGTGTTATCGGATGACTCTGTTTCTATTTGGACAGATGCCGCGGCCACCTCCGGTTTTGCCGCAATTTTTGGCAATGAATGGATGTGGGGCAACTGGCCAAAGGAAATTGCGGGGATACCAGAGTTCAAGGACACGTCTGCTTTATTTGAACTTTATCCCATTGTTGCAGCAGCGGTTAAATGGGGAGCCATCTGGTCAGGGAAGTCGGTGCGGTGCTTCTCAGACAACATGGCAACCTGCCATATTGTTAACAAGGGCCATCATGCGGTTTGTTAGGAATCTCACATGGCAAGCAGCAAAATACAGTTTTTTCCTGAATTGCGTGCATGTTCCTGGGATTCTCAATGTTGCCACTGACCATTTATCCCGATCTCGTTTTCAGGAGTTCCGGGCGGCCCTACCCACAGCGGCCTTAATACCCACTCCCGTACCACAGTGGCAGGAGATGATATTGGACTAAACAGATTACTCGCTCACGGATATCATCTCTCACAATTAGGGCTTTCTGTAAACACTAAAAAAGGTTTATGACAGGGCTTTTCTGATGTTTAATAAATTTGTGATGGAACACAAAATTGCTGACAAATTTGCCATGAGCACTATGATTGCGTTTATTTTTTTTTGCCATCTTCACTTAAAACTATCCTACAACACTATTAAATTATACATCACGGGTATTCAACATCACATCCTCACCACATGACCTGATAAACAACGATTCCTCTCCTCTTACCAAGTAAAATCTGTATTGAAGGGTATCAAGGATTCCACCCCGGCACCTACACCTTCCAGATTACCTATACATGACGTTCTATTTCAGTCACTGTCAAATCTTTTAGACACTTCACCGTTTGAGACTCGCACAAATCAGGTCATCAAAACAGCCATATACTTGGCATTTTATGGGTTCCTTAGGCCCAAAGAATTTACCACTACTAATTATAACACCCCAAACTTCCTCACAAGAGCTAACCTTGTTAAAAGACACGACCACTATTCACTGTTCCTACACCATACAAAAACTAGTATGAAGGGACAGACGGTCACTATTCCCTACTACCCTACTGATAATAAATGGTGTCCCATGGTAGTCTTCGACCAGTACCTTTCATCCTTCCCAATGCACCACATCAACCACTACTGGCATTGTACGGTAAAACTCTGACCATCAGTAAGTTCATGCTCTACGTAAGAACATTGTTAGTACGCTTGGGGCTAAACCCGGCCAAATATTCTGGTCATTCCTTTCGCATAGGAGCCGCTACTACCGCTTCAAAAAAGAATATCCCCGCACACATCATTAAGATCATGGGTCGCTGGAAGTCCACAGCTTATACACAATACATCCCCCTTTGTTTGTCAGGGTTTGTTGTTGTACATCACTACAGAATATGTTGCTGCTCTTTAAATTGCAGGGAGCCAGCAGCCAGGTGATAAAAGGTTATTTAGTAAGTGGAAAATACCAGCTGTAGGTTAATTAGGGTGCTAATTGTGAGTCATAGTCTAAAGGTAAATCGGAAGGATTTACACAGCTGCAATGGGAGACTCTCCTTAAAATTCCTTTAACTAACAAAGAGTTTTCAGGACAGGTGGGGGAGGAATGAACTGACCAGTCACTTCTCCCTTCATACTGTATCCCCCACACCCCAAACACACCCCACTTATTCCATATTCCCCTCACTCCTGATATATTTAGCCATATCCCTCTCACCCGTGTTATATTTTGCCATATCTCCCTCACCCCTGTTATATTTTGCCATATCTCCCTCACCCCTGTTATATTTTGCCATATCTCCCTCACCCAGTGGTGTATCCTGGTTTTGTGCTGCCCTAGGCAGGACAAAACTCAGGCGCCCCCCTTCTCCCCCCCCCGCCCCACCTTCTAAATACACACACACACACACACAATCACTCACATTAACTTTTTTTAACCCCAACCTCCTTACCTTTGAGAGTGCTTGGGAGGGGGGTCTCTCTCCCTGATGTTCCAGTGGCTGCCGGTCGGGCTGGGTGGCGCTGGCTGCTAGGCGGGCGACTGGTTAAGGAGCACTTCCCCTGAGCGGTCTGCTCAGCTCCCTCACGCGCCGCCGAGTGAGGCTGGGAGCCGGAAGATGACGTCATATTCCGGCTCCCAGCCTCACTCTGCGGCCGCGAGGGAGCTGAGCAGACCGCTCAGAGGAAGTGCTCCCTCGCCAGCCGCCCACCCAGCGCCGCCCATCCGCTTTGTCAGTTAGCCGCGAGGCTAACTAGGCATTTGGGGGGCGGCTTTTTTTGCTGCCCCCTGAAAAATGCAGCCCAAGGCAAATGCCTTGTTTGCCTCGCGGTGAATACGTCCCTGCCCCTGATATATTTTGCCATATCCCCCTCACCCCTGATATATTTTGCCATATCCCCCTCACCCCTGATATATTTTGCCATATCCCCCTCACCCCTGATATATTTTGCCATATCCCTTTGCTCAGTGATTAAAGGTGACTAGAACAATGACTCCATTCCTAAACACATTGTATAACAAAGACGAACACTATGTGCCCGAGAGGAAATGATTAACTGACGGGCACAATGACTTCCTCCAGGGCCTGTTAACATTTATAGGATTGTTGGGGGACAGTGCAAAGGTATTATACAACGGGTTATATGTCCTACTGGGTTTCACAGCACGCTCACAGCCCAATACATGTTATATGGCCCACTGGGATACTACATGGAGGATGTCCTACACGGTTTCACAGCCTGCCCACAGCCCAATACATGTTATATGGCCCACTGTGATACTATATGGAGGATGTCCTGCACGGTTTCACAGCCCAATACATGTTATATGGCCCACTGGGATACTACATGGAGGATGTCCTACATGATTTCACAGCACACTCACAGCCCACTGGGATACTATATGGAGGATGTCCTACACGGTTTCACAGCACGCCCACAGCCCACTGGGATACTATATGGAGGATGTCCTACACGGTTTCACAGCACGCCCACAGCCCACTGGGATACTATATGGAGGATGTTCTACACGGTTTCACAGTACGCCCACAGCCCACTGGGATACTATATGGAGGATGTCCTACACGGTTTCACAGCCCGCCCACAGCCCAATACATGTTATATGGCCCACTGGGATACTACATGGAGGATGTCCTACACGGTTTCACAGCACGCCCACAGCCCAATACATGTTATATGGCCCACTGGGATACTATATGGAGGATGTCCTACACGGTTTCACAGCATGCTCACAGCCCACTGGGATACTATATGGAGGATGTCCTACATGGTTTCACAGCACGCCCACAGCCCATTACATGTTATATGGCCCACTGGGATACTATATGGAGGATGTCCTACACGGTTTCACAGCATGCCACAGCCCATTACATGTTATATGGCCCACTGGGATACTACATGGAGGATGTCCTACACGGTTTCACAGCACGCCACAGCCCATTACATGTTATATGGCCCACTGGGATACTACATGGGATGTCCTACACGGTTTCACAGCACGCCACAGCCCATTACATGTTATATGGCCCACTGGGATACTACATGGAGGATGTCCTACATGGTTTCACAGCACACCACAGCCCATTACATGTTATATGGCCCACTGGGATACCACATGGAGGATGTCCTACATGGTTTCACAGCATGCCACAGCCCAATACATGTTATATGGCCCACTGGGATACTATATGGAGGATGTTCTACACGGTTTCACAGCATGCTCACAGCCCACTGGGATACTATATGGAGGATGTCCTACACGGTTTCACAGCATGCCACAGCCCATTACATGTTATATGGCCCACTGGGATACTACATGGAGGATGTCCTACACGGTTTCACAGCACGCCACAGCCCAATACATGTTATATGGCCCACTGGGATACTACATGGAGGATGTCCTACACGGTTTCACAGCATGCCACAGCCCATTACATGTTATATGGCCCACTGGGATACTACATGGAGGATGTCCTACACGGTTTCACAGCACGCCACAGCCCAATACATGTTATATGGCCCACTGGGATACTATATGGAGGATGTCCTACATGGTTTCACAGCATGCTCACAGCCCACTGGGATACTATATGGAGGATGTCCTACACGGTTTAACAGCATGATCACAGCCCAATACATGTTATATGGCCCACTGGGATACTATATGGAGGATGTCCTACACAGTTTCAGTTCGGCTGCTCGGGTTGGTCAATGGTTGGATATAGTTAAGTAATGGTGAAGAATTGTGTGATCTCTGACATCATACACAATGTATCAGGATATCCTGGAGCCACACAATGTCACTATTTTAAAACCTGCGGCTCCACCAGTACCACGTAACAAGTCACGGCACCAAGTCCTGCGTATCGGGGACATCGGGGGGAAGTGATCAAGTTACAATGCCAGATTCACTAAATAAACCCCACGATTAGAGCGGTCGTGTTTTATCGGTTCTAATGCGATAGCAACATGCAATTTATCGGATTCATCATCTCGAAATCAGGTTTACAGGACATTCGAAACAGGAGCTCTACAAAATGTTTTATTCTACTTTCATAAAATAAAATATGAATCATAAACAATAAAAACAATATAACCAACACCACACCATATAACCACACTTTATACAACGCTGAGGCTGTGTAAACATTCAGCACTTTGTGTTAAGAGGGTGACTATGGTACCAACACGAATTCACCAGCAGGGGTCACTATGATTCTCCGCAAAAGAAAGAAAAATCACAAGTCGAGTTCCACCTCTTCTATCATTTGTTTCTTGTCGCCGCCATCTGCCTCCGCCTCGAATAAATAAAAGACTCCTGTAACAAAAACAATTATATCATTATTTTCTATTAACTTGTGTCTTTACTGCTCCCACTGGAAGGCTATTCCATGTATCTACTACCCTTTCTATATCACTGTTACTGCTCCCACTGGAAGGCTATTCCAGGTATCTACTACCCTTTCTATATCACTGTTACCGCTCCCACTGGAATGCTATTCCAGCTATCTACTACCCTTTCTATATCATTGTTACTGCTCTCACTGGAAGACTATTCCTGGTATCTACTACCCTTTCTATATCACTGTTACTGCTCCCAATGGAAGGCTATTCCAGGTATCTACTACCCTTTCTATATCACTGTTACTGCTCCCAATGGGAGGCTATTCCAGGTATCTACTACCCTTTCTATATCACTGTTACTGCTCCCACTGGAAGGCTATTCCATGTATCTACTACCCTTTCTATATCACTGTTACTGCTCCCACTGGAAGGCTATTCCTGGTATCTACTACCCTTTCTATATCACTGTTACTGCTCCCACTGGAAGGCTATTCCAGGTATCTACTACCCTTTCTATATCACTGTTACTGCTCCCGCTGGAAGGCTATTCCAGGTATCTACTACCCTTTCTATATCACTGTTACTGCTCCCACTGGAAGGCTATTCCAGGTATCTACTACCCATTCTATATCACTGTTACTGCTCCCACTGGATGGCTATTCCATGTATCTACTACCCTTTCTATATCACTGTTCCTGCTCCCACTGGAAGGCTATTCCAGGTATCTACTACCCTTTCTATATCACTGTTATTGCTCCCACTGGAAGGCTATTCCAGGTATCTACTACCCTTTCTATATCTCTGTTACCGATCCCACTGGAAGGCTATTCCAGGTATCTACTACCCTTTCTATATCACTGTTACTGCTTCCACTGGAAGGCTATTCCAGGTATCTACTGCCCTTTCTATATCACTGTTACTGCTCCCACTGGAAGGCTATTCCAGGTATCTACTGCCCTTTCTATATCACTGTTACTGCTCCCACTGGAAGGCTATTCCAGGTATCTACTACCCTTTCTATATCACTGTTACTGCTCCCACTGGAAGGCTATTCCAGGTATCTACTACCCTTTCTATATCCCTGTTACTGCTCCCACTGGAAGGCTATTCCAGGTATCTACTACCCTTTCTATATCACTGTTACTGCTCCCGCTGGAAGGCTATTCAGGTATCTACTACCCTTTCTATATCACTGTTACTGCTCCCACTGGAAGGCTATTCCAGGTATCTACTACCCTTTCTATATCGCTGTTACTGCTCCCACTGGAAGGCTCTTCCAGGTATCTACTACCCTTTCTATATCACTGTTACTGCTCCCACTGGAACGCTTTTCCAGGTATCTACTACCCTTTCTATATCACTGTTACTGCTCCCACTGGAAAGCTATTCCAGGTATCTACTACCCTTTCTATATCGCTATTACTGCTACCACTGGAAGCTTGCACACCGCGGCGACTCACTAACCAATCACATGCAAGTCGACTCACTTACAGGTTTTACCAAGAGCATTGTGAGAAATGCGAACCCCAGATCTACATACACTTTAACGTCTTCTCCTATGTCACTGACTACAGCAGCACGGCACGGTCTGAAACACGCCATCTCCACCAGCATACAGCCGGAGAGCAAAGTATTAATACCATCTTGCTTTATAAATTGAACACACCCACTGATTCCATTGATCAGCAACAGTCTTCCATGTAATAAATGTTAAAACGAGAATGTCTGGCTGATAATATGCAGGGTATAATAGGCTCCAACTCAATAGGTCAGTGCCCCGTATGGTGTGTGTATAATATCTATCTGTATCTCCTAATAAACATCCTCCTTATACCATGTAGAGATCTTCCAGGGCATTCGCGGCTAAGTCCCCCTGAAGTCTATTCGCGGTTTTGGTCCATGCGAACAAGATGGCCAACACCACCTGTTCGAATGTTGAATGGCGGCCACTTAGACTGTTCAGGAGTTTAAAAAGTGCCATTTTGAAAGTTTGAACTGTGGCCATAAAAATCCAAAAAGGCACAAACAGTGATTTAAAGCAAGTTTTATCACAGGGGCCATAGTCACAGGGTAGGAGGCTGGCAAACAGGCCCCTCCTAAAACTAGTGGCGAGGTTACTTTCACCACCTATCTCCCTCTGGGAGACTAACCAGGTACCTGATCTCCTGTTGGTCAGTGCCTGAGTTAGTCGAGTATCCCACCGATAAAGTAATACTGGTACTGGCTTCTCGGTAGCTCTCCAGTTGGTAGTTCGTGTTACTTGGTGGGCAGAGACCAGTGGTGCTCTGCCCCGCAGCTATCGTTACAGCTGGGTGATTGAGAGGGGTGCCAGTTTCAGGATTAAGGACAAGGGGAGGGCAGAGGCCAACTACGCTCTGCCCTGTTGCCAGCGCTTCTGCTGGGGTTGCCTGCGGGTATTCAGGCCCTGGACAACAGGAAATGGGTGGACAGAGGGCAACTGCGCTCTGCCCTGATGTCAGCACTTCTGCTGGGAGGACTAGTGCGTAGTCCTGCCCTTTAACAAGGGGGCAGGTAGGGTAGAGGCCAGCGGCGCTCTGCCTTGTTGCCAGCTCTTCTCCTGGGATAGGTTCAGCGGATACTACCCCCAGAACCTGGTTGAGGTTCTGCTGTGGAGAGGAGGGATCGCCTATCTCCTCCTCCAGGCATTCCTGCGGTGTTGGTTGGGGATCTGGACCGGCCATCCAGCATCCCTGTAGGTCTGGTGCAGAGACCATGGTCCCATCTGCACCATTGGAGTCAGGAGTGCTGTCCCCCTGTGGTTGGGGAGAAGGGCCAGTTGTCTCCTCTCTCTGTATCTCCGGCTGCTGTTGGAGAGAGAGATCGGTTGTCTCCTCTCCCTGCAAGGTACACTGCCGCTGGGGAGGGAGACCGGTAACACACACTACTGTTGGGGAGTGAGACAGATTGTCTCCACTCCCTGTAGGATGCACTGCTGCTGGAGAGAGAGACCGGTTGTCTCCTCTCCCTGCAAGGTAAGCTGCCACTGGGGAGTAGGACTGACTGTCCCTACTCCCAGTAACTCCTGCTGTAGCTGGGGATCTGAGCCGGCTGCCCAGCATCCCTGTAGGGCCGGTAGAGAGATCTCATAAACGTCACAGAATCGTGACTTTCCAGCACTTCCAAACTCTGGTTCTGCAAAGGCCTCCCATAACAGGCCAGGGTCATCATAATCCTCCCCCTCAGGCCTTTCGTGCTCAGCCATCCAGGGGGTATGCCTACCCATATACCATCATAGGGCCTGGTAGGAGTCGTCTAGCTAAAGCTCCTTCCATACCAGGTCCTCGAGTTCTGTCACCCACTCATTCAGGGGCTGCTCTCCCAGGAGAGGCATCCGCAGCGCCACTTGCATCTGTCGACGCTGCTCTTCACTGGGTAGACTTTCGCCTCGCCGATGCTGTATGATCTCATACCAGACGTCTTTCCGGACTGCATCCCTCCAGTCCGGGTCATCTTCCTCCTTGTATAGGAACGCTATTTGAGGACTAGCTGGTTCCATACTGCTGTTGCCAGGGGCGCTGTACGGGGATTGGTGTTGCCCTCAATATAAATCCACACATTACCGGTGTCTCCAGGATATTTTTCCTCGCACTAGGAAGCCATCCCACCACTGCCACCAGATGTGACGGACCGCCTGGGCCCCCGACTGGGTACCTCCGTCAGTCGATGCTCCTAGTACTCACCAAGGACTCCAAACACTCCACCCGACTCCATCAACACCGCAGTCCCCACGTCCAGCGTTACAGCTTGGCTGGGAACTCTCCATCCTCGACCCACCCTGGACCCAAGACCAGGATCCAGCTTCCAATGGGTGAACCTCTCCTACTCCAGAGAGCGTAGCAGAAACAAGCTCTTTGTGGCGAAACCAACCTCGCCACTGTGAACTGGAGAAGCCTGGTTGCTCGCCTGCTCCCTTTGGACTATGGCCCTGCAGGTTAAACCGTTTATTTCCCTGCAGAAGGCTTATTTGTGTGATCTGAGTGCCATCGCTAATAATGTGCACTCATAGCTATCTGGGGATATGTGAAATGTCTGTGTTTATGTGTAAATGTGACTTTATGTATTTTAAAGTGTTTTGTGTCTTTTTGCAACCATGTGCTTAATGGAGTCTTGTGTCTGTCCTGGGAGATAATTGAATTACTCTCCAGGATAGAAGACTCTGAAACTGGTTTGGGCCAGAAAGCCATGCTTCATTTAGTCACAAAGGACTTTCCCTTAACTTTTGAACCCCTGGTCTGATTCGTGCCATTTTTTAATATGTTGTTCCCCTGAATGGATTGATTATGAAAATGTATGTTTTATGTTTGTGACATGTATATTTTAGAAGTTATAAATATTGTGTAAAAACTGTATTCCTCTGCTGGTGATAATGAGATTACCCATTGTGTTCAGTAATCATATCACAGGCAGAGGGGAGGATTTTGTGTGGGAGTGTCTGGGTGTATTGTACGGATTGATTGGTTGTTTTGTAACGCCCTGTGGGCTGTACTATGTTTGTGGATTGGGAATAAAAGAGACTGTATGTGACAGTACAGGGAGTTCCTGTTTTAACCCTCAAAGTGAAGTGTCGTCTCATTATTGGGGGAAGGATTTATTGTATGCTGTTCCAGTTTGACTGCTAGGAGAGTAAACCTATTCGTATGGTTCCTATTCAACTGTCTACAGCATTCATATGCTTGAGAGAAGGTTAACGCTTCTCTGGTTCGGTGATTGTGGCGTCTGCTGCAGTGCTTGGAGTCCTCAGGAAGCGCTAGGAGCATCTTTCAACGGAGGTACCCAGTCGAGGTGCCAGGCGATCCGTTACACTCTTAAAAGAGCTAGTGATTATAATCCCTGTGGAGTATAGTGATATAGCAATTCCCAGGGTAGACACAGCCTTTCCCCCCCCACACATGAGATGAGACCATGTTGAGGGTAAAACAGTAACTCCATTTTAATAGGGCCACACTGGCCTTTTATGCAAATTTACCAACAAGGGTGACATCCATGTGGACCTTGTTGGGCACAGGGACACAAGTTAACAAACCAATAAAAACAGTAATTAAATGTACGACACTCCCATAACAAGCATACAATCCCTCCAATCTGCCTGTGAGATAATGGAGTGAGATACTGTATTAACCCAATTATCTCCAGGCAGAAAAACACACATTTTTACAAAGTCTCATAAGTACCCCAAAACACAACAAATCCCCATAAATGTTACATTCCCTGATAGCCCTGACAATATATCCAAAAATCACCGAGATCAGAGGTTCAGACATTTTATAGAAGTCATAGTTTTGACCGACCGTGCACATGGTCTATTGCAGGGGCCATAGTCACAGAGAAGGAGGCTGGCAAACAGGCCCCTCCAAAAAACAGTGGCGAGGTTACTTTCACCACAATATCACTGCTCTCAGTGAAGTATACCTCCCAGAGGTAGACAGCCTTGAAGAGCTTGGCGCAGGATACACCCTCTACTGGTCTCCTCTGTGTTGTTGTCTGTATGATCAGGAACTTCATTGCCTCCCGACTTGAAAATCTGTCATCAGGTCACTCAGATCGCATTATCTCCATGCGCCTTCAACTTTAAAACAAGCAAAATGTCATGCTGTTTAGCGTGTATGCCCTAACTCTTCAAGTAAGTCCTGCTAAAAAGTTCTACACAACCTCATGCAGAACGTTCTTGTTGACAACTAGGTTACGATCCATGATGACTTAAATGCCAGAGTAGGCAGAGACTGGGCTCAGAAACTTGTCATCACCAACACCATCTTCCAGCAAAAAAAAAAAAAAAAAATTGTCTGCACCCTCATGTGTGGGTTAGGCATAAGGCTATCCTAACTATAAGATAAGGCCAGGGACTAATGAAAGTATTTAGAATGTTGGACAGACTAGATGGGCCGAATGGTTCTTATCTGCCATCACATTCTATGTTTCTATAAGAGAGCAGCATTCTGTCTTGTATGCAGAACCATCCAATGTAAGACCATTAAAAAGCTGAAAAGTGGCAAGGCATCAGGAGTCGATGGAATTCCGACTGAAGTCTGAAAGTATGGGTGCCCAACACTAAACTTCATGATTTCTTTGTCTGCTGCTGGGAACAAGGTAAATTACCACAGGACCTACGTGACGCTATCGGTCGGCCATATACACGCCATATACGGTCGGCCATCTTGGATCCTTTGTTCCCTCAGCGGGGTTATGTCGTCGAGCGCCTGGTACTAAAAACGGCTACTCGACGGCACGAACCCCGCTGAGCCTCCAGGGCGTTCGGGAGTTTCGGGACATTCGGTATTTTGTTCCCTACAAGCAATCGGTTCTTTTTATATGTTTTATACGAATTGTGTTTTTCGTGCGGCGTTCGGTTATTTTAGCTGGGATCTGAGCGGTAATCTCACGAATGATGCGCTCAGACCCCAGCTATCTACCGAACGTCCATTCGTGTAAATCCACTGTATATTCACCAAGTTATGGATTTTTGTGTGAATTGTCGGTTCTGCTGCACGAGGGGATAATCCACTTAACGGTGCATTCTGGGAAGATGATCCCTCTCGTGCAGCGGTGCCTGATGGGAGAAATATGCTGTAATGTAAGTCCCCCATGTAGTCCCCTCTGGGAGTGCCCCTGGGGAGGGACTCAGGAAACCCCTTGCATGGGGACTTGTATAAATTGTCCTGCCGATTAAAAGGTTGTCAGTTGACTCTCAGAACTGTGTCTCGTCCGGTTACTGGGAGGTTGGGGATATTGCCTTATGGTTTTCAGCGCTTGACTGTGGATTCGTTTCTGAACCAGCGGAATTCGTGGATTTATAATTGGCGTTCCGCTACAGGTACTTTTGAACAAACTGGTACCCACCACTGCAGAAGAACGCTTTCCAGAGAGCCAATGCGGCTTAAGAGCTAGAACGAGCACCACCGTAAAGGCATTTGTTCTCAGACAGCTCCAAAAAGGTTGGGAACAGAACAAGGTATTTTACGTGGCAGTCATTCACATCACCAAAGTGTTCAACACTGTGAGAAAAAAAAGGTATGTGGTTAATTTCGCAACGTCTAGGATGTCCTCCTAAGTTCCCCAATATGATCATTTAGCTACACGAAGTTCAATATGGTCAAGTCAGACACTGCAACAACTTCTCAGAACCATTCCTTATAGGCAGTGGTGTAAAACAAGGCTGTGTTCTTGCACAAACTCTCTTCACAATTTATTTCAGCTTGATGCTTCACCTTGATAAAGAGAATGATGTCTATATCCATTACCACACTGAGGGCTGCTTACTTTACTGGAGGCGACTAAGGGTTCACACCAAGACTGTGAACCAACTCAGACAGCTGCTTTTCGTGGACAATGCTGCCTTTGATTTACACACAGTGACAGCTTTGCAGCGAATAACAGAGGCTGCAGAGCTCTTTGGATTAGAAGTAAGCCTGAAAAAGACAGAAGTCCTCTACCAGCCTAGACCTCATGAAGTTTACCGTCACATATGGTGAACCAGAGCTGAAGAGAGTCGATCAGTTCAACTACCTTGGGTGCATCACCTCTTTACATGCCAAGATCAACACAAGATAGATAGACTGGCAAAGTCAAACAGAGCATTTGGCAGAGTGTATAGTAGAGTCTGGCACAACAAACATCTGAAGAGAGGCACAAAAATAAGTCAGTACAGACTGGGCCGGTGCATGGGTTTTTCCCGCCCTAGGCAAAAATCCATTTTACCGCCCCTTCATGTCACTCACTCACTGACAGACAGATACACAGACACTGACACTCACTGACAGACACTCACATCCCTAGGGTCTCACTCCTCCAGCGTGCCGTTTAGTGTGATGGGGCCGGAATGACGTCATATTCCGGCTTCCAGCATCACAGAGGGCACGCGAGGGAGGAATGAGAGGCTGCAAGAAGAGCCTCCCTCGCCGCCTTTTTTTCTCCTCCGGGCACCGGCATTTGATGGCAGAGCAGGCACCGGTCATTAAGGTAAGAAGGTGCCTGCTCTGCCATACAGTGACAGGGCTCCTCTGGGCGCCCCCACCTTCGGGCTCCCCCTGCTGGCCCTGAGTACAGAGCTGTCATACTAACCATTCCCCAAGTCAGAGGTTACCTATCTCCTGTGACTCTGACTGCTTTCACCAACGCTGCCTCCGCACAATCTTCAACATTCAATGGAATGACTTCATCACCAACATCGAAGTTCTCAAACAGGCAGAGACCACCAGCATCGAAGCAATGCTTTTGAAGTTGCAGCTGCGCTGGGCAGGGCATGTCTCCAGGATGGAAGATTATCCCTTACCTAAGGTCCTATATGTGAACTCGCCACTGGACACCACAACAAAGGAGCACCAACGAAAAGGTACAAAGTCTCCAACATCAACAGTCTGCTCTAACCTCCGATTGGAAGACTTGGAGACACACCATTCATCAGGCTGTCACCTCTTGCGAGAACACACCCCATGCAGATATTGAGAATAAAATTAAACAGATGAAGGAGCGTGACATTGTGGATTTGAAGGTCTCGCATTGGCCTAGTCAGCCGCCAGCATGTCTGCAGCAGACATAGACAACCCGATTCCTAAATCTTTATTTACAAATGAAAGCCAAACCAGGTATCTGCATGACAGGTGGAGATTCTGGGGTAGAGAACTATTTCAGCCATTATTACAGTACATAGCTGGATTATTCTGGATGACGCAGTGCACTGGACACTTACCAGAAAGAAGCTGCCCCCCAATAACAAGGCTTTCACTGTAACATCCAGATCCAGAGGAAAAGACACAGAGAACTGCTCACTCTCATTCCTGATCATCCCCACCACGTGCTGCTCATCTCGGGACTTTACCTGTGGGCGAGAGACAGATCTGTATCACTGACACTCCATGTACAGCGCCCCCGTCTGTATAACTGACACTGCACGTATAGCGCCCCCTGTCTGTATCACTGACACTGCACGTACAGCGTCCCGTCTGTATCACTGACACTGCGTGTACAGCGCCCCCTGTCTGTATCACTGACACTGCACGTACAGCGTCCCGTCTGTATCACTGACACTGCGTGTATAGCGTCCCCTGTCTGTATCACTGACACTGCGTGTATAGCGTCCCCTGTCTGTATCAGACACTGCGTGTATAGCGTCCCCTGTCTGTATCAGACACTGCCTGTACAGCGTCCCCTGTCTGTATCAGACACTGCCTGTACAGCGCCCCCTGTCTGTATCAGACACTGCCTGTACGTGTATAGCGTCCCCTGTCTGTATCAGACACTGCGTGTATAGCGTCCCCTGTCTGTATCAGACACAGCGTGTATAGCGTCCCCTGTCTGTATCAGACACTGCGTGTATAGCGTCCCCTGTCTGTATCAGACACTGCGTGTATAGCGTCCCCTGTCTGTATCAGACACTGCGTGTATAGCGTCTCCTGTCTGTATCAGACACAGCGTGTATAGCGTCCCCTGTCTGTATCAGACACTGCGTGTATAGCGTCCCGTCTGTATCAGACACTGCCTGTACAGCGCCCCCTGTCTGTATCACTGATACTGCATGTACAGCCCCCCTGTCTGTATCACTGACACTGCATGTACATCGCCCCGTCTGTATCACTGACACTGTATGTACAGCGCCCCCTGTCTGTATCACTGACACTGTTTGTACAGCGCCCCCTGTCTGTAAAACTGCATGTATACACTGCGCCCCCGTCTGTGTCACTGACACTGCATGTATAGCGCCCCCTGTCTGTATCACTGACACTGTATGTACAGCGCCCCCCCTGTCTGTATCACTGACACTGAATGTATAGCGCCTCTTGTCTGTATCACTGACACTGTATGTACACTGCCCCCTGGCAAAGCTTTCTACCTCAAAGTTGGAATTCCCAAATATATTGGTCTGAAAACTGGGTCCGATGATTAACAGCAGAACCTCGTCAGCAGGATTTCGCAATGAGAGATGTGTAACAAACGAGTCCAGGTGTAACCTCACACTTCCAAGTAGGTCTCCAGTAAGACTATAGACCTGCAGCTGTCACAGAGAGAGACAGAGAGAGATTGCTGCTACGCATTAAAATAAGACAATGAAAGATTTCTAATATGCTTACAACATGAGACTACAAGTCTTCACAGCCAGTATTGGAGAACGCTCACTGCTCCTATTGGCTCTGTTTCCTGACCTCATCCCCAGTCTGTGTGATTTCTGGCTGTCACCCTTCATACTAAACATGATCTAAATGCAAACAAGGCACTTTATGCACATTCTCACAGAGGACAAACATTGCTAACGTGCTTTGTGTAAATCCAGTCTGCTTATGTCCAGATAAATATGCCATCCGTGAAATCCACAGCACCGTCTCACCTGCCGCGTGCAGGTACACGCACACTCCTGGATCAGTTCCAGAACATCTCTGTCGCTGTTATCGGAGATTTTTACATTATACACCGGTCCACAACACTGATACTCCTGCTTGGCCTGAAATAATCTCTGCCCCACAGGGTCCAAGACATCGAACATCCGACCCCAACCCTGGGACACAGAGACTGAGACAGAGAAACACAGATTATGTAACAAAATAATACATATTAAGGGTGAAATTATTAAACACACAAACTGCTAAATTAAAGGGACACTCTTGTCACAAGACAATTTTATCTTAAAGCCGTTTGTGTATCGATCATGCCCCTGCAGTCTCACGGGCTCAATTCTCTGCCATGTAGGAGTTAAATCACTTTACGTTTACGGGTTATACAGCCCTAGTCATACCTCCCATGGCTGTGACTGACAACCTGCATGAAAGAACGGTTTCATTAGCAATCCGATGTTAACTTGGGGCTCAGTGTTAAACTCCTACCCTGCAGACAGACATTACTTCTCCAGATTGGCATTATCTGTCATTCGTATTTATTCTATCTCGATACTTTAATTACAGAGGCCAGCGGGGAAAGTGGGTATTCATTTTACCTTCTATATAGATAGCAGCGTTTAGCTTATTAGGTGCCCTCGAAGGCACAGATTTAGGGATTACTTAGAACGAATTAGTATTGGGTGGTTTCACCATCAGGTATATTTGTGCCCTTGAAGATACAGATTTAGGGATTACCTATGCCTTAGATCTGCTCCACCTCATATTGTTTCTATTCTCTCAAGGTATCCTATGCACATTCTGCAATCTACCTACTTATCCTAATATTGCTCTATCTATATACTGCTACTATAGGGATATATATCCATTTTTTAAGACATTTAGGTGATGGTCCCCTCCTTTTTGAGGCTCACCTAGTACTATAGTCTCTTGCTACTAACGAGATATGCTGTTACTGCACAGATGGCTACTTTGTTTCTTTGCTCTGTGTTGCACTTCCTATTTAGGGACCTGGTTAAATTGTTAAATACTTTTCTTTACACATTTCTCCAATATAGTAATTTAGCAGTATATTCGCTCTTTTTAATCCCGGTGGTTTTGCCATTCAGATTTCCTTCTTCTATATAGCAATGGTACAGCGAATTCTTTTCTATTTTCTTTTTATTACCCCATTATTTTCCCATGCCTTTCAGTTACTCCCTTTTAATTATACCCATTAAATATTATATTTTAATATATTTTGTCTATTCCAGTGATGCTATTAGGACAGATCACATTTTTCTGTTTTCCAATTTTCTCCAAGGGTTACCCCGTAGTGTCTGTCCTAGATACTTTCGATATAGTATTTCGCTTCCACCTGTTCTTTTTTCATCCGATGTTAACTTACTTTACAAGTTTTTATCTCTTGGTCTTTAAATTTAACTTTAATCACATACAATCGGATCCTGCAAGGTCTAGCAAGCAATTAACAGAGCAGGAGATAAGAAATTCAAAATTAAACAGACTGTGTGTGGCAAACCTAGCCACTTGAACTATAACTAGAGACTGTGCCTTTAAGGGTTGCCTACAGGTCTGGGGAGATATGCGCTTTATTCTTTTTTTTTTGTATATATCATTTTTATTGAGGGTTCAACATCATAGTATTACACAGTAGGATCTAATACATTGGAGCCGTAAGAAACGGGTACAGGAACAGATCTGAGTGGCAATTGATTTCCAGTTACCTAATTATTCAAGCGATGCTTCAGGGTGCCACATATACAACAGCTCCATAGGCTGTTATTCCGTAATTGCTCTACTGGTTTCCTCAGAGTTGAGAGGTTTGCCAACGTGGCTATAACCCTTGATTTCTCAAGAAGAAAAAAAGGGGGGGGGGGAGGATGGAAGTAGGTGGGAGATGTCGGGAACTAGGGGGAAAAAAGAGGGGGGGGGGGTTTCGGGATGCTCCCCTATACATGTGTATTAGAGGGAGGTGTTCGTCGCCATGCTGTCACGGTCATCTACCATTTGGACCAAATGCCCTTATACTTCAGTAGGGTACCACTAATCGTGTGCGACATTTCCTCATACTGTTGGGTGAGATTCACTTTGGTAATTACCGACTGTATGTCTGGTGCTAAGGTGGATTTCCATAGGGCAGCTATTCGTTGCTTTGCAGCAAGCGTGATGTGGGTGATCAGTGTGGCCTCGTGGGCTGTTATTTCGGGTGGCATCATATGGAGCAGGTAGTGTTCAGGGGCAGGTGGTAGGTCTATCCCTACTCTGAGTTTTATCAGATCTTGGATTTGTTGCCAGTATTGGCTGAGTGCAGGGCAGTACCAGAATATATGGCTTAGGGTGCCTTCTTGTTGGTTACAGCGCCAGCACGTTGCCCGGGAGCCCGGGTATATTTCGGCCAGCCGTTGAGGCGTATAGTACCATCGAAGCCATAACTTGTAGGCCGCTTCTACGTGGTCTAGGCAGTGTGTGGCTTTTTTTACTAATGACATGGCCCTCATCCATCTGTGCGGCTCAAAGGTACTTTTCAGCTCCCTTTCCCAATGTAACATGTAGGATTGTTTTGTTGGCCTGTCTAAGTCTAATAGGCGATGGTAACATAGGGACAATGGCTTTTTGGGGGTTTTTTGGCCCAGGCACATCGTGTCAAAACAGTTGTGGGGTTGTGTGAGCATGGTTAGTTTTTTGACGTCTCCTATTATGTGTTTAATACGAATGTATGTGAAGATCTCCTTGTTAGGTATGAGGTATTTTTTCTGGAGGTCGGGGAATGGTAGTAGACCATCTATTCCCAGGAGATGTGATATTCTGGTCACTCCTTGTCCTATCCATCCCTGCAAGGGGAGGTCGTGAGTGTGGTGCTGGAGAGTAGTCAGCGGGGCAAGGGCTTCTATGTTCCCACCGGTCATTTTTGGGGCCCATCTGAGCCACACCTGGAGTGATCCCCTCGATGTCGAGAGTAGCTTGGGATAATGGGGTTGGGCCTTTGTCGTGGTCCACAGTAGGTCGCCGAGGGATAGAGGCGCGCTGAATGCACTCTCTAGGTGGAACCACATTGGGTAGTCTGAGGGAGCCAGAAGGCGTGCCATCTGGGCCAGGTGTGTCGCTAGATAGTATTTGGTTATGTGGGGCACACCCACCCCACCTCCTCCCATAACCATACTGATGTTCGCCAGAGATACCCTTGGTGGTTTCCGTTTCCATATGTGCGCATTAATAAGGCTTTGGAATGCCCGGAGGGTGTACTTGGGGAGGGTAATCGGTAGGGCTCTAAAAAGAAATAGTATTTGTGGGAGGATGACCATTTTGATGGCATTATACGTCCTAGCCAAGATGTGTTTTTGGTGCCCCAGCTATCCAGCCGTCGTTCTATGTCTCCCATCAATTTCCTATGGTTATGTCTTATGAGTTTGGTTTTTGAGGGTGTCAGCTGTGTGCCTAAATAAGAGAGGGTGTCCTTCCTCCATTCGAAGGGGTGGAGTACTTTAAGAGATTCAAGTTGGGATCTGGGCAGGTTCATGGGTAGCACCTGTGTTTTTGCTATGTTGTTTTTATAGTAAGATACACGGCCGTAGTCGTGCAAAAGGTGCAGTAGAGTGGGGAGTGAGTCTGAGGGCCTGGTGAGAAAAAGGAGGATGTCATCCGCAAACACTGCTAGTTTATGTTGTCCCGTTGGTGAGGGGACCCCCGCGATGTTAGAGTTTGCCTTGATTTTGTGGAGTAGGGGTTCCATTGCGAGAATGAATATGAGGGGCGAGAGTGGGCAGCCCTGTCGTGTGCCGTTCGTCAGATCAAAGCGTCTAGAGACGAAGCCAGAGCTCATGACAGTCGCCCGGGGGGAAGTGTACAGGGATAAGAGTCCAGTCAGGAATTGGGGCGGAAAATTAAACTTGCGCAGGACCTCCGACATATAGCCCCAGTGGAGCCTGTCGAAGGCTTTCTCCGCATCTAGGGCAACTATAAGGCCTTGTAACCGGTCAGAGTCCATGAGTTCCATTATGTCCAGGGCCCGTCTGGTGTTGTCCTCAACCTGGCGGCCCGGGACAAAGCCCGACTGCTCAGGTGAGACGAGTTGGCTTAGGAGGGGTCGGATACGGTTTGCTAGGACCTTGGCGAACAGTTTGGTGTCGGCATTGAGGAGCGAGATCGGGCGGTAGTTTGCACATAGGTCTGTGGGTTTGCCTGGTTTGGGAATTGTGACAATTGTGGCTTCCAACATCTCTGGGGGTATGTTACCCGTGACTAGAATGTGGTTAAATAATGCCGTGAGGTGGGGGAGTAGTTGGTCCTCAAACACCTTATAATAGTGTACGGAGTAGCCGTCCGGTCCTGGGGCGTCTCGTAGTGCCCTGGTGATCTCGGCTGGTAGGATCGGGGTGGTCATCGTTGCGGCCTGCGCGGTGGAGAGCTGGGGGAGATGTATACCCTCCAGGAAGGTGGCGATGTTCTGAGGGGTGGGCTGGTGCTGGGTGGAATCCCCGGAGAGATTGTATAATTTTGCGTAAAAAGTAGCAAATTCGTCTACAATCGCTTTGGGGTTCATGATTTTGGTTCCATGTTCATCCTTGATATAGGGGATTTTTACCTGGGAGCTTCTCGCCTTAAGCTGAGAGGCCAGCAGTTTACCAGCTCTATTCCCCTGCCTATAGTAAGTTGTTTTCATCTTCCTAATGGCTCTCTCTACCCGTTGCATTTGTAGTGTTTCTAACGTGGATCTAATGTTTTGGACTTCGAGTCTATGGGGTTCAGTGGGTGAGGCTTTGTGTCGTGATTCGGCTAACTGTAATTCCTTCAGTAGGGAGTCACTTTTTTCAGATAGTTGGCGCTTCAGTTTTGTCCCCATCTGTATGAGTGCTCCACGGGTGACTGCCTTGTGGGCTAGCCATGTCGTGGTGACGCTCGTGTGATTGTAGTGATTGACTTCGAAGTAATGTGTTAGTGATTTCTGGATCTCAGAGGCCCTCTCAGGGTTATCTATGAGGGACTCATTGAGCCTCCATTGCCCCCGTCCTCGGACTGGGTGTAGTGTGGTAAATGATGATGTGAGGGGGGCATGGTCTGACCAGGTTATCGGGGCAATAGCGACCTCCGCTAGGGTATCCAGGGTTTTAGTGTCGACCCAACACATGTCGATGCGCGAATATTGGTCATGGACCTTGGAGTAAAAGGTGTAGTCCCTAGAGGCTGGGTAGAGTGCCCGCCAGGTGTCATGCAGGTTATGGAGATGGAGGAGCGTCGTCAGTTTGTCCCCTAGGAGCTTGTCTCTTGGGTGGGAGCCCGGTGTCCCTGATCTGTCTAGGTCAGGGTCTAACACACAGTTAAAGTCCCCGCATATCATCGTCTGTCCCTTCTTTAGTTTGTCAACCTTTCTCAGTGCCTTTCGTAGGAAGTCGTTATGCGCTTTATTCTTATGTATGTGCTTGATGTATTTTCTGCAGAGACTGTAATTACTGTTTAGCCGAATGCCAATGGTGGTGTATGGGGATTCCCGTTCGTTTCACGAACGGCACTTTGGAGGGCCGTTCGTGAGGCGAACGCGATACCCCCTCATAGCCCACACACTTAGAGGCGTGTGGCGCTAGTTAACCGATTGCAACATTGTTGCAATCGGTAATTAGAGGCTCTCCTGGGTGGCCGTCGTTCGACTACCGACCATGCGGCGGTCGGCCATCTTGGATCCTTTGTTCCTCAGCGGGTCCGTGTTGTCGTACGCATAGTATTACCAATAGCTATTCGACGGCACGAACACCGCTGAGCCTCCAGGACGTTCGGGAGTTTCAGAACCGTGTTCACTAAAAGTAATCGGTTCTTTTCGTATGTTTTGAAAGAAATGTGTTTTCTGTGCGGCGTTCGGTTATTCTGGCTGGGATCTGAGCGGCAATCTCACGAATGATGCGCCCAGACCCCAGCTATCTACCGAACGTCCATTCGTGCAAATCCACCGTGTATTTTAAAAGTTATAGATTTTTGTGTGAATTGCCGGTTCTGCTGCACGAGGGGATAATCCCCTTAACGGTGCATTCTGGGAGGATGATCCCTCTCGTGCAGCAATGCCTGATGGGAGAAATATGTTGTACTGTAAGTCCCCCATGTAGTCCCCTCTGGGAGTGCCCCTGGGGAGGGACTCAGGAAACCCCTTGCATGGGGACTTGTATAAATTGTCGTGCCGATTAAAGGATTGTCAGTTGACTCCCAAAACTGTGTCTCGTCCGGTTATTGGGAGGTTGGGGATATTGCCTTGTTGTTGTCAGCGCTTGACTGTGGATTCGTTTCTGGACCAGCGGAATTCGTGGATTTATTATTGGCGTTCCGCTACACTGTGTAATAAGGGAAGTGTAAACATAAGCTCTTTCTTATAGGAAGTGTTTACGAAGGCTGTGAAAGTGTGCAGGGAGGTGTGACTAGGGCTGTATAAACAAAGTTATTAAACTTCTGAATGTCAGTGAATTGAGCAGTGAGACTGTAGGGGTATGATCTATACACCAAAACTGCTTCATTAAGCTAAAGTTGTTTTGGTGGCTATAGCGTCCCTTTAACCTTCAAGAAGGTTCTGGTAACACACACACATTTTCATCAAATTAGGATGTTATCGAGTGCAGCAATGTTTGCTCTAAGCCAAGGATGTCTTGCGTCTAGATCAGGGGTAGGCAACCTACGGCACTAGTGCCATGCACGGCACTCAAGGCTGCTAGAGCCAAACAGGCTCTGGCCTATCAGGAGTCCCAGTACAACTTCAGATATATGCTAATACGAAGAGGTGGTGAAGGACAATTTATGCCTATCCTCAATTTATGCATTGCAGCACGTAGAGGAAGTGATCTCAGAGCACTTCATTCCAGCACTTGTGAATGGGAATCAACACAGTAGTAGAGAAACCTGCAGTTGTTGTTGCAGCTCCTGTCCTTGACCTGTACCTGGCCGGCCTGCTCCCCACTGGAACCCAGGGAATCCACCCACACTGCTAGATGTACACAGAAATGCAGAAAGACCCTCCCCTCATACAAATAATACGGACAGCCCACACACAAACATACACACAATCCGCACAAACGCAACACCTCTAACAATCCACATACATGCACACAACCCCACATGCAGCTCTCACATGCTATACCCCAAACAGCCCCCACACATACACACACTACCAAACACACAAGGTGACATTTCCATCCACACACAATTCCACAAGCTGCCCCAATACACAGCCCACATTCATATGTATCATACACAATACCACAATCTACTCATGAACATATACAATATAATAGCTCATATACGCACAAATACAACGATACAAAGCAATTACAGGATAAATAATACAAGCAGAATACGGCAGCATACACACCTCAATTTAAAAAAATAGGACCGGCGCGCTACGGGACATCACAATCCTATATCGGCACAGTGCTGCTAAAAGGTTGCCTACCTCTGGTCTAGATCATGTGGATTTAGAGGTCAGTCCTTTTTTCATTACATAAATCGTTTATGTGTCGATTCAATATACAATATTATTGTAACTAACAGGAATGTGTGGAATTCAGTGCAGTGACCCCATAAACACTGGAATCCAGTCAGAACAATTCGTATTCATGATAACAAGCTCAGAACATTACAGAGTTGGGTTTAGGAAGAGAAAGTAAGAAATTCAGAAACCCCAGCGGCGAATTCAGGAGGAGAAAGATTGAGGGACGAGAGCAGGCGATATAATGAAAAGTCTTACATTTGGCCCGCACGGTCATCTGATTTATCTGGGAAGAAAATGAATAAAAATGTGATTAATAAACATATAAATGCAAATCACGTGACCTGCATACGATCGTTCACCCTGTCAGCACAATAGCACCCTTTATTTAGCCCCATCTTGTTTCTGACTACCATCTGACACCCGCACATTGTAACCTATTTGTAGAGTAAAACAGGTTTTCTGCATTCCGAGACGTGTCACTCAGGACGAATGCGGGAAAGTCCGTGCAGGTTACACGTTTCATTCGTGCAACTCGGTCATTGTGTATTTTGCCAAAGGGAATGTTGGTCTGTACCTGTTAGAGCTAGAAAGCTTAGTTTCAAGACACTTAATACACATACACACATCTTGTAGCAGCCTATAAAATATGACCCATAGTACACATTGATAATCTTCATATGGCCGTTTAACACCCCTTGTGCACTGTTCGACACTATACATTGCGTAAGGAGCATTCAGAGACCATTTATATCGGTCTAATATTGGCAATACTGCAGCATGGTTCAATAATGTAGCAATTCATCAACTACGACAATCCTGGGACAACCTACCAATGGATTATTATATAGTGTGCTAAATCAATAATATGACAGCAGATACGTCATATGGTGGAATAACAGTAACAGCATGTATCGGATGGCATTGGGCTGTCCTAAAAAGTGCATTTATGTCTATGTATTCGGTTAAATTGTAATCTGTATATGTGAAGTGTATGCAGCATTCGCCTGATTGTTTGGTAGAATCACTCCAGTATTATGCGAATTAAACTACCGAACAATCAGACCACCCCTGTAATAAGTGTGCCTCCAATTGCTGTTCGCAACAATGTTGCAAACGGGTAATTGACGGTTCGTGTAGTGGGTCCTTTGTTCTCTGGGTGGCCGCCATTCGGGAGACAAACACGCCATTTTAAAACTCCCGAACAGCTGTGTTTTGCCGTCGAGTGTCTGGAACCCAAATCGGACACTCAGTCAGACAAACACTGCAGCCAATTCGTATGCAAACTACCGAACGGTTTCTCGTTCGGTAGTTTGAATCCCACGAACAAGGGAAATTACACAAAACCTCCCCAGCTCTCCTAACACAAGTCATTCGCATGTTACATTCCCTTTTGTGTGACCGACCGCAGGGCCAAAACGCATGGAGCCCTTTTTGGCTGGTAAACCCAGCGCGGTCGGTCATTTGTACTTCCATAAATTTCCCGACCCCCTGGTCCGATCTGGGTGATTTTTGGATATGTGTCTCACCCAGATCAGGGCTACCAGGGGATGTAACATTTAAAGGGGTACCCCTACGTTTAGGGGTACATCCAGAAACTCAAGGAATTTGTGTCCTGCATAAGGGGATTATGTGTCACACTAAGGGGAGGGGATGTGTGGGTGGCAACTCTTGGAGGATTGGCTACTGTACCAATTATTGCAAATCCCTCCCTTGCATGGGAGAATGCTTTATAAGGAAGTTGTGTGCATTAAAAGTCAGTTCTGCTCCTGATGCTGTGTGTCGTCCAGTCATTGGGATCCGTATTGGGATCTTCGTGGATTACCTAGCTTGCTGCGATTATTCTCCTATGGTATTTTATAACTTGTTCCTGAGCCTTATTGGGATCTTTAGTGGAGTTAACCTGTGAAAGACCAGCTCTCCGCTACACAGCATGTACCGGATAGCAGGATAACAGTAACAGCATGTACCGGATATCGGGATAACAGTAACAGCATGTACCGGATATCGGGATAACATTAACAGCATGTACCGGATATCGGGATAACATTAACAGCATGTACCGGATATCGGGATAACATTAACAGCATGTACCGGATATCGGGATAACATTAACAGCATGTACCGGATATCGGGATAACATTAACAGCATGTACCGGATATCGGGATAACAGTAACAGCATGTACCGGATATCGGGATAACAGTAACAGCATGTACCGGATATCGGGATAACAGTAACAGCATGTACCGGATATCGGGATAACATTAACAGCATGTACCGGATATCGGGATAACATTAACAGCATGTACCGGATATCGGGATAACATTAACAGCATGTGACAGACTGCTTGGCACCCCGAACGGGTACCTCTGTCAATTGCTGCTTACAAGTACTTGCGAGCACCATAAGCACTGCACTGGAACACCAAAACCTCCATAAACCCCACAAACTGACGCAGCTTGGTTGGAGTCTCGCTGTCCTCCACCCACCCTGGACCCAAGACCAGGATCCAGCTTCCAGTGGGTAGAACTCTCCTAGTCCAGAGAGCGAAGCAGTGTTGTGATCCAAGTGAGTATAGTGATTATAGCAATCTCCAATCCCCCAAACATGAGCCTCGAACTCATGAAGGGTAAAACGAATCTCTGTTTAATGGTAGACACAACTGGCCTTTTATGACAGTCCCCATGCAAGGGGCACTGCCCCCTGGATCTGAGAGTAAATAACAGTAGAAATAAATACACAGTCACATTGACTCTCGGGTCCAGGACACTCCCATACAAAATCAGATAATCCCTTCTCTGTGCCTGGGAGACAATTGGATCAGGAACTGTACTAATCTAATCCAAGCACAGAAAAAACATACATTTTTACAAACCCCCCCAAAATATCTTAAACCACACAAAACCCCCACAAACGTTACATCCCCTTATCTGGGTGACCAACATATCCAAAAATCACGCAGATCAGTTCAGGAATTTCCTGGATTTCTTATTTTTTTACTGACTTTGCACATGGTCCTATGCCCAAAACAGTTCCAGGGAATCGGGGTTAATGGTCGGTCACTGTCTGGAGTACAAAAGTACATACTTCACATGAACAGAGCCTTTTAAAGTGCATTGGGCAAGGCATATCGCAAGGCCCATAGTCCTGAGGCAGGAGGCTGGCATGCAGGCCCCTCCAAGAACCCGAAACAAGGTTCAGTTCATCACAAACAGTAACAGCATATACCGGATATCGGGAAAACAGTAAAAGCATGTACCAAATATCGGATAACAGTAGCAGCATATACTGGCCATCGGGATAACCATAACCAGGACCGCCATCAGGGGAGACCTGCATAAATACGGGCAGGTAGCCCACAGTAAAGCCAGATCCTGTTTGACCCTCAATGCGGAGCTTCCGTCTCGTTATTGGGGGGATTTCTTCTTCACGTTTAGAGACTGCTGGATGGAACCGAAAGCCGCTTGGAGGATGTTATTGTTCGGCGGTTAGTAGTAGTTCGTGGATTGCCGTTCGGGAGTTTGGAGCCGTTCACGGATCCCGGTCGGGAGATTGCCGCTTCCCCTGAGCTTGGTTCATGCACTACAGGTTATGCGAACGAGGATTATGTATACTGCAGAAGGGGAAGGTCGTCTAAACGGCGGTTTCGTTTAAAGACACTAGGGGTGTCTTAATCCATAAATATGTTGGCGTAACTCGGTGCGAACTTGGTACCCATGGCATTGCCCTTCAATTGTAAATAAAAATTACTGTTAAAGCTAAAAAAAAAATTATGGGTTAAAATAAACTGTATACTTTCCAAAATAAACTGTCCAAAAAGAGAGGATAAGTTCTTATCTAAATCCAAAGCACGTTTCACGGCCTTTAGGCCAAGGGTATGGTCAATAATCGTGTACAAAGAAGTGACGGGTTGCCCATATGTAGTCCTCCCTCCATTCAATACAATCTAGTCTTGGATAAGGTGTTTTGTATCCTTAAGATAAGATCTAGCACTTTGAGTGTATTTTTGGAGGGAGGAATCAACAAATTCGGACAACCTACATGTTCGTGAATCCACGCCACTAATAATAGGGCGTCCTGGTGGTTCAGAGATGGATTTATGTACTTTTGGTAAAAAGTAGGGATCCTAGGGAAGTCTAAATATAAAAAAGAAAAAAGTTTGTCATTAAGAATGTGGCAAAACCAACCTCGCCACTGGGCATTGGAGAAGACTGATTGCCAGCCTCCTGCCATGTGACTATGGCCCCTGGGATGTATTGCCCTTTAAAGACATGATTTGGGCATAAGGGATTTGTGTTGTGCTGCTGCTGGCCCTTTAAGAACCATATGGGGACATACTGTGGAGTTACTGGGTGTACCATTTCCTGTATCAGAGGCACATGGTGAGAACAATGGATGAAGCACATGGTGAGAACAATGGATGGTGGCCATTTTAACTCACAGACACTTTTTGGACTTTTCAACACGGTGCCATCTCGCCAGTATTTGGTGCACAGAGACATCGTGCAGTGGTTTTGGACTATACAGCAGGGGACACATTATACAGTGATTGTTTTTCATTTAGCCTGTATATGTTCTGCAGAATCTGCATTAAACTGTATTTTCCAAAGTACTGAACGGATCTGGGTGAATTTTGGATATGTGGTTCACCCAGATCCCCCAGTTCCAAGGATATATGATTTTTTATGGGGTTATTGCATGTTTTGGGGTACCTGTGATGTGTTTTATGAAACTGTATTTCTCTGTCTGTGATAATTAAATTACCCATTGTGTAAGGTAATTGTATCACAGGCAGAGGGGAGGATTTTGTGTGGGAGTGTCTTTCTGTAATGTAAGTGTTATTGGTTGTTCTGTAAAACCCTGTGGGCAGTACTAAATTTGTGGATTGGGAATAAAAGAGGCTGTATGTGCCAGTACAGTTAGTTCCTGCTTAACCCTCAAAGTGAAGTGTCGTCTCATTATTGGGGGAGGATTTATTGTATGCTGTTCCAGTTTGACTGCTAGGAGTCTAAACCCATCCGTATGGTTTTTCCTATTCGGCTGTATACAACATTCATATGCTCCTACGGTTCGGTGGTTGAGGTGTCTGCTGCAGTGCTTGGAGTCCTCAGGAAGTGCTAGGAGCATCCTTGAACGGAGGTACCCAGTCGGGGTGCCAGGTGATCCGTTACAAAGAATATTTAGGCTTTTATAATGCTAGAAAAAATCTTTTAACTTTTTGTTTGTTAGGATTTTCTTTTAGCTTACCATATGTGTCTACATCTCCTAGGAGGCGTAACGATTCCTTGTCGGCACTTTTAATCACAATATCCTCTCTTTGTTTAAGATTTTTTTAAACATTTTCTTTAATGGTCAAGTTAAAATTTTTATCTTTGGGTTCTGTGACGAAATGCCTTTTGTCACTGGATTTTTAGGTGACAAGTTGCCCTTTGCCCCTGGCTGTTGGAGGAGCCTGATTGCCAGCCTCCTGCCTCATGACTACGGCCCTGGGTTGTATGGCACTTTACAAACATTATTTGGGCTAATCGCAGCTAAATCCAAAGGCCACTACTCCATACTAATTCTTCTTGACCTCTCGGCGGCCTTTGACACCGTTGATCATGCTCTCCTTCTTCAAACTCTGCAATCGCTTGGTCTCTGTGACTCTGTCCTCTCGTGGTTTTCCTCTTATCTCTCCCAACGCTCATTCAGTGTCTCTTTTTCTAATGATACCTCCTCCCCTCGCCCTGTCTCGGTTGGAGTCCCCCAAGGCTCCGTCCTTGGTCCCCTTCTATTTTCTCTTTACACTGCCTCTCTTGGCAAACTTATTACCTCATTTGGTTTCCACTACCACCTGTACGCTGATGACACCCAGCTATATCTCTCCTCCCCGGACCTCTCCCCTGCTGTCCTGCAACGTGTCACTGCTTGCCTTTCTTCCATCTCTGACTGGATGTCCTCCCGCTTTCTGAAACTCAATCTCTCAAAAACTGAGCTCCTTGTCTTTCCTCCTCCTAATACTGATCCTCCTCTCTCGCTCTCCCTTCAAGTTTGTGGTACCAACATCAGCCCATCCTTGCAAGCGCGCTGTCTTGGCGTCATACTTGACTCTGGTCTCACCTTTGAGCCTCACATCCAGCATGTTGCCAAATCCTGTAGATTCCATCTTAAAAACATAGCCCGCATCCGCCCCTTTCTTGCACCAGATACTACCAAGGAGCTTGTCCATGCTCTAATAATTTCACGCATGGATTATTGTAACCCTCTCCTGCTTGGTCTTCCCAAAAGCCGCACTGCACCCCTACAGTCTGTAATGAATGCTGCTGCTAGACTGATTTTCCTCTCTAGTCGGTTCTCTCACACCTCACCCCTCTGCCAGTCCTTACATTGGCTTCCTGTGTGCTATAGGAGTCAATTCAAGGCACTAACTCACACCTATAAAGCACTGAACAACTCTAGCCCCTCTTATATCTCCTCACTGATCCACAGGTATGTCCCTTCTCGGTCTCTCCGCTCTGCCCGTGACCACCTCCTGTCCGTTGTCCGCACCCGTACGGCCAACTCGCGCTTGCAGGACTTCTCGCGGGCGGCTCCCTTCCTATGGAATAGCCTGCCTACCGCCATCCGACTCTCCCCTAGTCTTGCATCTTTTAAGAAGTGCCTTAAAACCCATCTCTTTAGGAAAGCTTATGGCCTCCAAGACTAACCCCTACCTCACATACCCGTCTCTTGCCCTCTCCTAAAGGGCAGCCCACCTTATTTGATTGCACATTCCTGTCCTAATGTGTTTTACACCCCACCTCCTATAGAATGTAAGCTCGATTGAGCAGGGTCCTCTTCAACCTATTGTTCCTGTAAGTTTATTTGTAATTGTCCTATTTATAGTTAAATCCCCTTTCATAATATTGTAAAGTGCTACGGAATCTGTTGGCGCTATATAAATGGCAATAATAATAATAATAATAATAATGGATTTATATTGTGCTGCTGCTGGCCCTTTAAGAACTGCATTGTGATTTGTGGACTTGTATTGGACTATGCTGGCCCTTTAAGAACCGTCTGGGGACATATTGAGACTTTGTGTGACAATGCCCCTTTAAGACTATGTCCCCAGACCGTTAAAATACTTTGTCTATGGCTTTCTCCCACTTGGTTCAGTAAATGGGGCTTACTGAACCAGGTACCACACAGGCGGACCACCCAGAAGTGGAAGTGTGCTGTAGGTAAATTGCCGACTGCTGGGTGGCCACAGTTCGTGCAAACCAACACGTGACGGCGGCCATCTTTGTTCATTCGAACGAGGTCAGCGGTATGTGTAGCCAAATCCATGGAACTGAAATCAGCTACACATTTCTGCGAACACTGCTGACCTGTACCTTCTCCTACACTGAATTTCCAGCTGCAGAGACTAAGTCCCGTTTGGCAGTTTGAACTCACTACTATACTAAGCCAAATGCACGAACGGCTCCGAATGGGACTGTAGCGGAGCGTCAATATTAAATCCCACGATCTCCGCTGGTTCAGAAGGTAATCCACAGTCAAGCTATGAAAAGTAAGGCAATATCCCAAATCTCCCAGTAACCGGACGAAACACAGTTCTGAGAGTCAACGGAGGCTTTATTCACAGGCTCCACAATTTATACAATTCCCCATGTAAGGGGTTTCCTGAGTCCTATCCCAGGGGTATTCCAGGAGTGGACTACGTGGGGAACTTACAGTACAGAGCATTTCTCCCATCAGGCACTACTGCACGAGAGGGATCCTCCCACTGGAATGTACTGTTAAGTGGATTATCCCTCCGTGCAGCAGAACCGGCAATTTATATTAAAATACACAACTTTTCGAATATTAGGTTGATTTGCACAAATGGACGTTCGGTAGATAGCTGGGGTCTGAGCGCATCATTCGTGAGATTACCGCTCAGATCCCAGCTAAAACAACCGAACGCTGCACAAAAAACATTCACCAAAACATGCATTTAAAAGACCGATTGGCATATGGGGAATAAAATACCGAACGGCCTGGAAGTCCAGGGGTGTTCGCGCCGTCGAGTAGCCGTTTTTAGTACCACGCGCTCGACGACCAAACACCGCTTGAGGAACAAAGGATCCAAGATGGCCGACCGCCGCGTGGTCGGTAGTCAAACGACAGCCACCTAGGAGATTGTTGCAATCGGTTAATAAGCGCCACACGTCTCTTAATGTGTGGGCTATTACACGGTGGTTTATTCGGTTCACAAACGGCCCGCAAATGTGCCGTTCGTGAAACGAAATGAAATACAGCTATCTGCTTTTGGCAGATAGCTAATACAGGGAGTGCAGAATTATTAGGCAAATGAGTATTTTGACCACATCATCCTCTTTATGCATGTTGTCTTACTCCAAGCTGTATAGGCTCGAAAGCCTACTACCAATTAAGCATATTAGGTGATGTGCATCTCTGTAATGAGAAGGGGTGTGGTCTAATGACATCAACACCCTATATCAGGTGTGCATAATTATTAGGCAACTTCCTTTCCTTTGGCAAAATGGGTCAAAAGAAGGACTTGACAGGCTCAGAAAAGTCAAAAATAGTGAGATATCTTGCAGAGGGATGCAGCACTCTTAAAATTGCAAAGCTTCTGAAGCGTGATCATCGAACAATCAAGCGTTTCATTCAAAATAGTCAACAGGGTCGCAAGAAGCATGTGGAAAAACCAAGGCGCAAAATAACTGCCCATGAACTGAGAAAAGTCAAGCGTGCAGCTGCCGCGATGCCACTTGCCACCAGTTTGGCCATATTTCAGAGCTGCAACATCACTGGAGTGCCCAAAAGCACAAGGTGTGCAATACTCAGAGACATGGCCAAGGTAAGAAAGGCTGAAAGACGACCACCACTGAACAAGACACACAAGCTGAAACGTCAAGACTGGGCCAAGAAATATCTCAAGACTGATTTTTCTAAGGTTTTATGGACTGATGAAATGAGAGTGAGTCTTGATGGGCCAGATGGATGGGCCCGTGGCTGGATTGGTAAAGGGCAGAGAGCTCCAGTCCGACTCAGACGCCAGCAAGGTGGAGGTGGAGTACTGGTTTGGGCTGGTATCATCAAAGATGAGCTTGTGGGGCCTTTTCGGGTTGAGGATGGAGTCAAGCTCAACTCCCAGTCCTACTGCCAGTTCCTGGAAGACACCTTCTTCAAGCAGTGGTACAGGAAGAAGTCTGCATCCTTCAAGAAAAACATGATTTTCATGCAGGACAATGCTCCATCACACGCGTCCAAGTACTCCACAGCGTGGCTGGCAAGAAAGGGTATAAAAGAAGAAAATCTAATGACATGGCCTCCTTGTTCACCTGATCTGAACCCCATTGAGAACCTGTGGTCCATCATCAAATGTGAGATTTACAAGGATAAAACAGTACACCTCTCTGAACAGTGTCTGGGAGGCTGTGGTTGCTGCTGCACGCAATGTTGATGGTGAACAGATCAAAACACTGACAGAATCCATGGATGGCAGGCTTTTGAGTGTCCTTGCAAAGAAAGGTGGCTATATTGGTCACTGATTTGTTTTTGTTTTGTTTTTGAATGTCAGAAATGTATATTTGTGAATGTTGAGATGTTATATTGGTTTCACTGGTAATAATAAATAATTGAAATGGGTATATATTTGTTTTTTGTTAAGTTGCCTAATAATTATGCACAGTAATAGTCACCTGCACACACAGATATCCCCTAACATAGCTAAAACTAAAAACAAACTAAAAACTACTTCCAAAAATATTCAGCTTTGATATTAATGAGTTTTTTGGGTTCATTGAGAACATGGTTGTTGTTCAATAATAAAATTAATCCTCAAAAATACAACATGCCTAATAATTCTGCACTCCCTGTACAGGCAATACAATACAGTCAGCATACATTACACCCAGGAACATACATATCCCCACAGCCATACAGGCAATCCTTAAAGCCACAGTCTCTGTATAATGTCCAAGTGGCTAGGTTTGCCACAGGGACTTAGTCATTTTTCTGTGTAAAATAGACTGACCACACAGCCCAAATCTATGGAACTGTTTTGGGCAGGAAATGTGCTTGCGGTCGGTCATAAAGGACTTCCGTCTAACTTTTTATTCACTGGATGGATTTGTATGATTTTTGGTTATGTTTATATTTAAAGTATGCTGATTCTGAATATGTATATTTTATGTGAATATGATGCATATCTGTAAAGTTACAGTATATGTGTAGAAAGTGTATTTTTCCTGCCTGTGATAAATTACATTAACCCATTGTGTTCAGTAATTATATCACAGGCAGAGGGGAGGGATTGTATGTTGGGGCTGGGTGTGTTTTACGGTTTTCCTGTAAAGAATTGGTTGTATTGTGTCCCACCCTGTGGGATGTCTCCTTGCATGGGGACTTGCATAAAAGCCAGTATGTGGTCATTAAAAGCAGATCATCTTGTACCTTTCTTGAAGCCTTGGCTCATGTTTGGGGGATTGGAGAACTACACTCTGGGGATTGCTCTAATCACTATACTCCCCAGGGTATAATCACTAAGCTCTGCTAAGAGCTTGTTCCTGTTCCTGCTCTCTGGAATTTGGAGAGGTCGACCTACTGGAAGATGGACCCTGGTCTTGGGTCCAGAGTGGGTGGAGACGGCGAGACCCCAACCAAGCTGCGGCGGTTCTTGGGGTCTGCAGTGGTTATGGTGTTGGGTAGAGTGCTTGTAGTCCTCGGAAAGCACTAGGAGCATCAGTCAGCGGAAGGTACCAGGTCGGGGTGCCAGCGGTTCCGTTAAAGGTTCATTTTCTCTAAATCGTTATTTATCATTTTGGCAAAGGCTTCTATTTGACTCCCTTTTTCGGTAGGGCAAAAGGTTGATTTAGCTTTAAAAAGGGGTCTGTTCTGATTCTCTCTTGTTTCAATGTATTTGTGGTCTGTCTTCCTCTTTCTTTTTTAGCAAAAAACCTTTTTAATGATAATTTTTGAATAAATTTGTTAAGATCTATAAATAGATCAAAAGGTTTAACAGGAACATTTGGAGCAAATGTAAGTCCTTTTTCTAAAATTAGTAATTCGTCTAAAGTGAGGTTTGCATTATCAATAATAAAGATACCTCTACTGCGAACAAATTCATTTATTCTTCCTCTACCTTTATCCACTCAACCTCCTCTTTTTCTCTGGGGCATTCCACTCCCCCAAAGGTGCAAACCAGTTGGTAAGATCAATTTGTGGTAGCTTTGGGGAGAAGAATTGGGTAATTTCTTTCTTCTTCCTTAAGCCTTGGTCTAAAAAAAAAAAAATCACTTGGAACTTTGGGCATTTTCCTTTCTCTTTCTTTTTCTTACGGTTAATTGAGAGTTTATCTGTACCTTTTAAATGGACCTTTTTTATTTTATATACTATTGGTCTTTGATATGATTAGATCTCTTTCATTTAGATTAATGTATTCTGGTTTGTCATTATTGGGGTCATATTTTTCCAATTAATTTCCTTCTATGTCTTATTTTTCATTTCTCGTTGTACTATACATGGACATGGACTTCCTCGTTTTTTATGCACACAGTGCCAGAACTACATCTTTTTGGAACGCACGTTTGGAACGGAGGCTTGGTACCCGGAAAGCCGCGTGTGATTAGAAACAGATGATTTTAATCACAAATTTCCCTACGATTGGCGCCCGCACTGCGGGAATTCATACCTCAACATATAAGAAGCAGACGAAGGAGGATACACACTACACCTTGAAATACCCCTGAGGAAGTCCTAATTCAGGACGAAACGCGTGGGGCGGAGAAACCACGGCTAAACCTATAATTGGACTTTATTTTTATGTTTATTTTATTATTTTTTGTATCTGTGTAGGTTTTTTATTTTTTTTTATTTTGTTTCCGGCTACATCTTCAAGACCAGGAAGTGTGACTGGAGTTGGACTCATCAGAGTCTCTGATAGGCTTGATTTTATTACATATCTTGTGAGTGCAATTTAAATTAAATTTTTTGTCATCTTTTACCCCCTTATGGACTCGACATGTGTGACATGTCATGAGTCCCTTTAATTCCAGAAGTTTGGTCTTTAAGGGCTTACATTGGTGCACTATGTCCTGTGTCTCTCCCCCTTTATATTACGGTTTAAAAAGAAGAACATTTGATCTTCATTGAATCCTAAAGACCTCTATATGTCTGCAACTTAATTCCACTCTGTGAGTGCATTTTATACTAGCGCACTTTATGGTGTTTTAAATATTCTACACCATTTTTTGGTTTTATCTACCTCTTTTGTAGCTTCTCTTTTATACAGTCTTTCCTCACAAGGTTAATGCCCAGGGGGACCTTGTAGGGCACAGGACATGTGTGGCGAAACCAACCTCACACGTGTCCTTGGAGGGGGCTGCTTGCCCGCCTCTTGCCTTTGGACTATGGACCAGACTTTATGTGAATGTGTTAACCCAGATAGCTATGCCATGGAGCCCATTCGTGTAGTTAAAGACTTCGGCTCCATGGCAATTGAACTGTGTGAATAGGATCTGAGCGCTATTCGGTAGTTTTGTGCGCTCAGATCCCAGCTATCTGGGGATATGTGACATGTCTGTGTTTTATGTATAAAATGTGACTTTGTGTATTTTATAATATTTTAATGCTTTGTGCTCACCATGTGCATAATGGAGTCTTGTGTCTGTCCTGGGAGATAATTGAATTACTTCTCAATTATCTCCAGGATAGAAGACTCTGAAACTGGTTTGGGCCGGAAAGCCATGCTTCATTTAGTCACAAAGGACTTTCCCTTAACTTTTGAACCCCTGGTCTGATTCGTGCCATTTTTTAATATGTTGTTCCCCTGAATGGATTGATTATGAAAATGTATGTTTTATGTTTGTGACATGTATATTTTAGAAGTTATAAATATTGTGTAAAAACTGTATTCCTCTGCCGGTGATAATGAGATTACCCATTGTGTTCAGTAATCATATCACAGGCAGAGGGGAGGATTTTGTGTGGGAGTGTCTGGGTGTATTGTACGGATTGATTGGTTGTTTTGTAACGCCCTGTGGGCTGTACTATGTTTGTGGATTGGGAATAAAAGAGACTGTATGTGACAGTACAGGGAGCTCCTGTTTAACCCTCAAAGTGAAGTGTCGTCTCATTCTTGGGAGGAATTTGACTGTATGCCTATTGCCAGGAGTGTAAGCTGTTCGTAGGGCTTTTCCTGTTCAGCTGCTTCCAGGGTTCGTGTGTCTGCTGTTCGAGAGTTGGTGAATATGTGCAGTTTGGAGTTCGGGAGGTTGGTGATTGCAGTAGCTGCTGGTCTATCTGGAAGGGGATTATCGCCTAAATGGTTTTTATCCCCTTGTGAGCGAAACGGTCCGTTACAATTGGTGTTAGCAGTGGGATCGTTCCTACAACCAGAAGGACAGCTACAAGACAACACCAGTGCCTGGATTACAATTGGGAGCAACGCTAGTACACGTACAGCGACCCTATGTACAAAGGAACCAACTTCGACAGAGCAAGCATGGCACCCCGCTACACGCAGGAGGCATTTGACAAAGAGTGTGCCTCGCGGCTGGCGCTCGTTGCATTTGTCCCCTCTGAGGAATTCGTGCAGTTCTTAGGGCTTTTCCTGTTCGGCTGCTTCCAGGGTTCGTGTGTCTGCTGTTCGAGAGTTGGTGAATACGTACAGTTTGCAGTTCGGGAGGTTGGTGATTGCAGTAGCTGCTGGTCTATCTGGAAGGGGATTATCGCCTAAATGGTTTTTATCCCCTTGTGAGCGAAACGGTCCGTTACAACATGAAATTCACAATCCAATAAAAACAGAGTTTTACACTTGAACACTCCCAGTTACTGTACACAATCCCTCCCCTCTGCCTGTGATACAATTAACAAAGACAATGAACTAACTCAATTAACTCTAAGCAGAAAAAAAAACATACATTTTTACAAACCCCAAAAAGTACCCCAAAATACAACATATCCAAAAATCACCCAGATCGGTTCAGGAATTTCCTGTAAGTCTTATTTTTCCCCCACCGTGCACATGGTCCCATGCCCAAAACAGTTCCATACACTCGACGGCAAAACACTGCTGGACAATTTAAGATGGCCGCTGCCACATGTTTGAATCTGTTCCAGTTAAAAGTCCAAGGGGCAGAAACAGTACTTTTGAACATGGGTTATCACAGGAACCATAGTCCCAGGGTAGAAGGCTGGTAAGCAGGCCCCTCCAAAAACTCATGGCAAACTCCCTTAAAAAGGGGAGTTTGTCACAACCGGAATAGACTTCAGGGGGACTTAGCCGCGAATGCCCTGGAACTATTTTCGGCATGAAAACCTCGCGATTCCCGGTCGGTCCTCCAGCGGCACTTAGTCGCAATTCTATGGAACTGTTTTAGGCATGAAATCCTGTGTTTGCATGGGCAAAACTATGACTTCCATAGAATTTCTGAACCCCTGATCTGGGTGATTTTGGGATATGTTGTTCACCCAGATCAGGACTCTCAGGGGATGCAATGGAGATATGTTATGTTTTGGGGTACTTATGTTACTTTATAAAATTGTGTTTTTTCTGCCTGTGGATAATTAAGTTAATGCATTAACTACCTTAATTATATCACAGGCAGAGGGGAGGGATTGTTTACTGTATGTGGGAGTGTCGTACTGTTAATTACTGTTTTCATTGGTTTTTGTCCCTTGTGCCCCTGTCCTCCATCAGGTCCAGTGGGTGTGCCTCTGGCCTGAAAAACCTGTATAAAAATCCAACCTGTACCATTAAAACCTTCTTACCCTCAACTTGCAGCCTTGTCTCGTGTATGATGATCATAGCCAAGGGATGGCTATGATCATCATACGCCCTTGGATAATCACTAGCTATTGTAAGAGCTGTTCCTGCTACGCTCTCTGAAGGAAGAGAGGTTCACCCATTTGAGTCTGGAGCCTTGTCGTAGGTCCAGGTTGGGTTGGAGACATCGAGACCCCAACCAAGCTGTGGCGGTCCGTGGGGTCTGCAGTGCTTATGGTGTCTGGTGCAGTGCTAATGGACCTTGGTCAGCACTAGGAGCATCGATTGACAGAGGGTCTGTCACACAGCATATACCAGATATTGGGAAAACTGTAACAGCAAATACCGGATATCAAGATAACCAATAACATATACTGGATATCGGGATAACTTACAGCGTATATTGGATATCGGAATAACAGTAACAGCATATACCGGATATCGGGATAACAGTAACAGCATATACCGGATATCAAGATAACTGACAGCGTATACTGGATATCGGGATAACTAACAGCGTATATTGGATATCGGAATAACAGTAACAGCATATACCGGATATCGGGATAACTTACAGCATATACTGGATATCAAGACAACTAACATATACCGGATATCGGGATAACAGGAACAGCATATACCGGATATCAAGATAACGGACAGCGTATATTGGATAATCGGGATAACAGTAACAGCATATACCGGATATCGGGATAACAGTAACAGCATATACCGGATATCGGGATAACAGTAACAGCATATACCGGATATCGGGATAACTTACAGCGTATATTGGATATCGGGATAACAGTAACAGCATATACCGGATATCGGGATAACAGTAACAGCATATATTGGATATCGGGATAACTTACAGCGTATATTGGATATCGGGATAACTTACAGCGTATATTGGATATCGGAATAACAGTAACAGCATATAGTGGATATCCGGATAACTTACAGCGTATACTGGATATCAAGACAACTAACATATACCGGATATCAAGATAACCGACAGTATATATTGGATATCGGGATAACAGTAACAGCATATACCGGATATCGGGATAACAGTAACAGCATATATTGGATATTGGGATAACAGTAACAGCGTATACCGGCTATCAAGATAACTGACAGCGTATATTGGATATCGGCGAAGCACAGGCCATAAACACCCAAACTATTGTCTGTATCTACGGCCTGCACATCACCTAATGCCTGATATTTTTGCACAGAAATGGATTTAGTGAATCAGAGATATAGTGAAATAGTGATATCGTGAATCAGATATTATACGCCCAAAATGGGCACACAGTGTACACGGCTTAGGGTGTATGTATATAATATTACCTGGGTAAGATACTCCAGACCTGCAGGAACCCCATTAATTAGCATGGGGTCTATAGATGTAGCTGATGGGTATGTGACAGGAGGAGCATAGGGAGCAATAGTGCTGTAATTGGGGGGCCGCTCATAGGGGCCTTTACACAGATGGTCTTCAACACCTGACAAAATAATGCAATCTATTAATAACATAGCATGCACAGCTGATATGGGGGACGTGTAGCACTGCCTGGGACCCCTAGGACTGACTCACTGACTTATAGCACTGCCTGGGGCCTCTAGGACAGACCCACTGATGTATAGCTCTTCCTGGGACCTCTAGGACAGACCCACTGACATATAGAACAGCCTGGGACCTCTAGGACAGACCCACAGACGTATAGCACTGCCTGTGACGTCTAGGACAGACAGACTGACGTGTAGCACTGCCTGAGACCTCTAGGACTGACCCACTGACGTATAGCTCTGCCTGGGACCTGTAGGACTGACCCACTGATTTATAGCACTGCCTGGGACCTTTAGGACAGACCCACTGACATATAGCTCTGCCTGGGACCTCTAGGACAGACGTATAGCACTGCCTGGGACCTGTAGGACTGACCCACTGATTTATAGCACTGCCTGGGACCTCTAGGATAGACCCACAGACGTCTAGCACTGCCTGGGACCTCTAGCACTGCCTGGGACCTCTAGCACTGCCTGGGACCTCTAGCACTGCCTGGGACCTCTAGGACAGATCCACAGACATATAGCACTGCCTGTGACCTCTAGGACAGACCCACTGACTTATAGCACTGCCTGGGACCTCTAGGACAGACCCACTGACGTATAGCACTGCCTGGGACCTCTAGGACAGACCCACTGACGTATAGCTCTGCCTGGGACCTCTAGGATAGACCCACTGACGTATAGCACTGCCTGGGACCTCTAGGATAGACCCACTGACGTATAGCACTGCCTGGGACCTCTAGGATAGACCCACTTATAGCAGATAACCGGAAGCTTCCACAGCCCTCAATGCCGCTAGCGATCTTAGATTGCACCATAACCGGTACGTCCGGATATCTCAAGATTGGAGCAGTGAAAGTTGGCATCCTCTCTGCTCGATGGTCCTGTCCCACCCCTGAGATTGTATTTTTTATTAATTATTATTATTGCTAAAAATAAGGATTACCCATAAATCTATATATTTATGGAGAAGGTAGATGTCACACAGGGTACTTACCTGAAAATGCCATTGAAAGCCGGCTGAGTTAACAGACCTGGAATTAGGACATAAAGCGCTTATAACAAACCATAAACAATAACCCCCCCCAATTCGTTCTGAGCCCTCTCCCACTCTAGGGTCCGTGAGGGGACATCACGCTCAGTGAAGGTCAGTGAGTGCAGTAGAGAGCTGAGTGGGGGGTCAGTGAGTGCAGTAGAGAGCTGAGTGGGGGGTCAGTGAGTGCAGTAGAGAGCTGAATGGGGGGTCAGTGAGTGCAGTAGAGAGCTGAGTGGGGGG